TGGAGGTTTGGCCCACCTCTGACCCCATAGAAGGGGGTTTGTGAGCCTGCGCACAAGCCAGAAGCAGGCCTGCTAGCCAGCTGGCAGGACTGAGTTGGGGGGGGGGTGCGGACTTCACAAGATTGACACTTGGCAGTCACTTGACACCCTGGAATGTGGGTGGGCTTGGCACGGGTAAAATGGGGGTGGGGCACAAGGGGGAAGCGGCAGATTTAAAGAGAGAGGCCAGCAAAGTCACCCTTTGGGTGGCCCCCACACAGCTGCCACACAGTACGGTCCTGTCCTTCCTCCTTCGAGAGGCAGGACACTCACGGGGGAGCTTTCTCGCTTCCCCAGTCACCCCTGACACAGCCCCGAGCACGACGGGTGTGGTGCCAGGCACTCGGGGCAGCAGCCCTGGGGAGCGGGGGGCCTGTTCCCAAGTGGGATGAGCCCGAGCACGACGGGTGTGGTGCCAGGCACTCGGGGCACTGCCGCAAGTGGCAGCAGCCCTGGGGAGCGGGGGGCCTGTTCCCCAGTGGGATGATGGGGTCACAGACTTTGGAACCCGGATGAACCCCCAGGGAAGGCACAGCTCCCCGAGATCTCACCAGGTGGGGGAGAGCAGGGCAGACAAAAGCGCCACCTGACTGGACCAAATCTCACGCATAGGCACTTGAAACTTCTCCTCCAAGCCTGCGGGGAGGCAGGAGCAGGCAAAGGTGCACCAAGAGGCAAAGGCATGCACTCGGCACACAAGCACCCGTCCCCACCCAGTGTGCGCCTGACGGGTCACAGCCCGTGTCAGGGTTTAATCTCCCTTTTCCTTGGAGACCTTCACCTGAACCTCCTTCCTTAGCCGGAGGGATAGGGCATTCCGTGGGGAGGACGGGGCTCTCGGGGGGACGTGGGGGAGGCAGTCCGCCTTGAGGGAGACTCGAGTTGGCTGGGGTGGGCCAAACAGGACACAGACGGCCCAGGTCCACACCACTCCTGGGCAGAAGACAGGTAGGGCTCTGGGTAGGGAGGAACGAGGGGTGCCCCAGGCCCCAAGCAGGTTCAAGACACACGGAGGGCCGTCAGCGTGAAGCGGCCTGGCGTGCGGCTGTTGCCGGCTCTGCCGGCTGTGGCTCTGCTTTGGGCTCTGTGGCTTGCAGGCTGCATGGCCTTGGTCCCCTAGTGTCCCCTGCAAGATGCCCAGGTGTGGCCAGGAGCTGGGGCCTGGTCCCTATTGGGAGACGGTCCTGGGACTCCCAGCTGCAGGTGGGGCTGGGGAGGGGGCGGGGCTGACCCAGGCCAGACAAGAACGTGGCGGGAGAGGCCCACGGAAGGGGGTGTCCCCAGGGGGAGAGGGTGGGCAGCCGAGGGGCAGAAAGGGAGCAGCTGTTGAAGCCCACAGATCAGACCCCTGCACAGTGGGGACCTTCCCGCTCCCCAGGGGGTGTCTTGAACCTGAGCTCTACCCCCCAAAGGGCTCCCTCCACTGCAGGCCCACTTTATTCCACCAGAATCTTGCAGCCCAGCGTCTTTAAGCGAGGGAAGGAGAGAGCAGGAGAGGCAGGGCTGGGAGGGCCCATGGGGCTCTCAGCCCTGGTACCACTGAGGCAGGGCTAGAGGCACTGACCCTCAGCAATGCCCCCAGGGAACGCGGCCTCTGGGGGACGCAGGGCAGTGGAGGGAGCACAAAAGGGCCCTGGGGTGCAGGAGAGAACCGAGAACCCTGGAAATCCCGTCTCAAGTTTCCTCCACTTGGCTCTTTAAGTGGCCTCGTGCTGACACCTGGTGGTCACTTCTAGAATTACAGCGTCACCGCCCGAAGGTATTACACATGGGGGGGGGGCCCCTAAGGAGAGGGGTGGGTGGGGGCAAAACGACCCCATTTCTCCCGACAAAGGGAGCCCCCCTGCAGGGTCGGGGTACGGGGAGTGCTGCACCTTCGCACTCGGGTGGGAATCTCTTGTCTGCCCCCATCCTGGCATGACCGAGTGGTTAGTGAGGCCTAAGGGGACGCCTCCCGCCAGGGTCTCCGGCTCCCTGCGGGGGGCCTGGGGGGGGCGGGGGGGCTCCCTCCCCGGGGGTGCGGAAAGGTGGATGCCCAAAGCCAAACGTGCCCCCGGGACAGTCCTGAAGCTCCCGCTGTGTTCTGCGGGGGGCGGGGGGGAGGGCGGGGGGGCTCCCTCCCCGGGGGTGCGGAAAGGTGGATGCCCAAAGCCAAACGTGCCCCCGGGACAGTCCTGAAGCTCCCGCTGTGTTCTGAGACCTAGAGGAAGCTGTGTTACGTTTGTGTCAGAGTAAAATGAGATGTTACTGGGAGGCAGAATGTTGGGGACCCCCCGCCCGCCAGACAGGCAGGGACCCGGAGACTGAAGGGGGGAGTGGTCCTGCACCGGACACAGTTTCTGTCCCCCCCCCCGCCCCCAACACACACACACACACACACACACACACACCCCAAGGCTTTCAAATCTGGCCTGAGCCTGACACCTTGTGGCCACCTGAGGAAGTGCAGCCACAGCCTCTGAAAGCGCCTGGCTTTCCTCTGCATCAACACTGCCCTTAGGGCGACGCCTGGGCCGCTTGGCCAAACCCGGGGGTCCAGGAGGAGGAGGTAACACAGAACCCCCACCCCGAGGGCCCCGTGCTGTCAGGTCACCTAGGGCTCAGCCGCCTTCGTGGGGGCCACCAGTGGGCCGGAGTGAGGCCGCCCCAGGCTGCACACGCCCTGGGCCCGCGATGTCTGTGCCGGTGGCTCAGGGGTGCTCAGATGGGGACAGGCTGGGGCAGAGGGGCCTGAGGG